CCCTCGGGCAGCCGCTTGTTTAAAATTTTAGTGCTGGTGTTCTGTCGAGAACGCCGACCCAGTATCTGCGCTTACGTACAGACGGGATTACTGGGGAAACCGCCATTTATTTACAAAGTATTTGTTTGTAATGGTTAATTGTTAGCGGTAATAATATGCCATCCATGAATGAAGGATGGAATATTAAGTCACAATTAACGATTTAAACGAAATACTTTGTGAATAAATCCCGGTTCTCCTCCATAATATTGGTCTGTGCGCAAGCGCATATGCTGAGGTCGGCAAATTCGACTACGTCGGCGTTCTCGACATAACACCGGTATCTGCGCTTAGTATCGGGGCATTTTCACGAGTATGAGTACTTGGGGAAAATGCCCAGTATTTGGCAGTGGTGTATCCCTACTTAAAAATATAATGCATTGCTGAGACTTGTAGTCCTTCATAGTTGGTGCTATTCTGCATTACTGTATAATCATCATACATCAATGCAGAATACCAGCAGCTATGCGGGACTACAAGTCCAAGCAATACATTATAATAAGTCAGCTATGCAGAATGCCACCAGCAGCCCCCTTCCCCCCACACTATAATGCATTGCTGGGACTTGTAATCCTACATAGTTGGAGCTATTCTGCATTGCTATATAATCATCATACAACAATGCCGAATACCACCAGCAATGCGTAAAAGTGAGCACTATATCACCAGCATCCCACACACAGACACACACCCCCCACACCAGACTTACCTTCCTTGTCCAGCAGGGCCCTCTTCCTTGTCTCCCCAGTCAGGGGGTGGGGCTAAGAGGAGAGGGTCCTCACACAGCAGAATGTGCTGCCCGGCAGTGCCTGCAGCACATTGTGCTGGTGACAGCCAGGGCTGGTGCTAGCCTATTTTGCGCCCTAGACAAGACCAGCTACCAAGATAAAAACATAAAAATTGCAAAGTTTGATTTTTAAAGTCAGATTTGTAGAATACACTAAACAATAAAACACAAAACATATACAACAATGCAGGATACCACCAGCTATAAAGGACAATAAGCAATGCAGAACAATACCATCAGCTATTGAGAACTACAAATCACAGCAATGGAGAATAATAGTATATGAATTTTCTACATACTTTGTGCTGTCGTTCTGTTCCTGGGGTGCCTGTCTGATGTCTCAGGCAGAGGGTCTCAGGAGGGGTGCAGAAAGTCTCATAAGGGGTGTGGAAGGCCTAAAGATGGGTGAAGACGGTCTCAGAATGGGAGCAGCCGGTCTCAGGGGGGTTTGCAGAGGGTTTCAGAAGAGGTGCAGAGAGTCTCGGGAAGGGCACAGAGGGTCTCAGGAGGAGTGCAGGCAAGGGCGGGTTCCCCACAAGTCCACCGAGGCCTGGCCTCGGGGCGGCAGGGAGCAGAGGGGCGGCAGCGGTTTGTCTCCCAACATGGAGTTCCGGGCGCCGGGCGGTAATTTGTCTTCTACATTTAGTCTTGCTTTACACAAGCAGGACTAAATGTACAGAGGGGAAGCCAGTTGTTATTTTACAAGTGATCTTGGCGATGTCACCAAGATCACTTGTAATCAGACTGCAGGGTGTTCGTCCTCCCCCCGCTGCCACCCCGCACCCATCTCTCTCCATGCTGGCTCCATCCTCCCGACTCCGTCTCCCGGCTCTGTCCTCCCACCGCTGCCGCCGAGTATCTCTCCTCACTGGCCGCTGGAGGGGTGCGGAGGGTCTCAGGAGGGGTGTGGAGGTTGTCAGGAGGGGCGCGGAATGTCCCGGGAGGGGCGCGGAATGTCCCGGGAGGGGCGCGGAATGCCCCGGGAGGGGTGCGGAGGGCCTCAGGAGGGGTACAGAGGGTGTCATAAGGGGTGCGGAATGTCCCAGGAGGGGTGCAGAAGGTCTCAGGAGTGGTGCGGTGGGTGTCATGAGGGGCGCAGAGGGTCACTGTAATTGATCAGTCTTATACAATCACATGAATCTCTAGAGATTGTATAAGACTGAGCAATAGTTTGTTTTAGATGACAACACAAGCAGAGAGACAGAGGAGAGGTAACATTGACACCGCTGTGGTGACAACGCCCAAGTGACACTGACAACGCTGGAGTGACAACTCAGACAATGACTTTGCTGGGGTGACAACGCACAGGTGACACCGACTCTGCTGGGGTTCCTCCTCAGTTGTCCATCTTTTAAGTTTGACTACAGATATCTCTAAAAAAAATTCCATTTAACTACCTGAAGTATTATTCTGTACAATAACCTTTATCGTACCCCTTAAAGAGATATTAAACCCTCCCTGTAAAAGTAAATATATATTTGCATATCTTAAAGTGACACGAGATTTACGAGTTAAATCTTAGAAATGCATTAAAGTAAATTGAGCTAAATTAAGGGCTTCAGTAAAATAACCACAGTGCGGTAGTATAATAATAATAATAATAATAAAAAAACACTAAACCAAAAAAAGGAAATAAAATAAAGGGGAAAATGTCTTCTTTGAGTGGTTGTGCAAAGAGGTGCACGTCGTGCGCAATGTATGCGTTCCTTGTGGGTCACTGTTAGAAGACGGGGCAGAGGGAAGAGTGCTAGAGAGGTCAGCCCTGAACTGTTTAACCCCAACAAATATGCCAGGTTGCGTGATGCTGATCCAAGTAGGAATGGACCAACCGTAACAGGTACAATAAAATTAGTAGTGGGGAGCAAGAGGGGAGCAAACGTTTAACCAGTAAATGTAGAAAAATTAAATGTATGTTCACCAATGGTTACTCGAGGAGGGCTACGATATAGTAGGAATAGCAGAAACATGGTTAGACGGCACACATGATTGGGCTACTAACATAGAAGGGTACAACCTGTTCAGGAGGGACAGGCTGGCAAGAAGGGGGGGTATGTATATATGCTAAAAATAACCTCATTATGCACATCCGTGACAATATCACGTCAGCTGGTGGAGATGATGTGGAACTAGATGGCTAGAACTAGATAGAACGGACCTTAGCCGTAAACTTATTGTGGGTGTCTGTTATAAACCTCCAAATATAGGGGAAGAGGAAGAGGCCCACCTACAATCCCAAATAGAAATAGCGGGGGAAACAGGGTAATGTTGTGGTAATGGGAGACTTCAATTACCCAAGCATCAACTGGGCTAATGGAACTTCCAAATCGGCAAGGGCAGCACGTTTTCTTAATATGTTGCGAGACAATTTCATGGATCAGATGGTTGAGGTCCCGACTAGGGAAAATGTCATCCTAGATCTGATCATCAGCAATAATAAGGAGTTAATTGAGGATATTGTAATCGGGGAGACACTGGGTAATAGTGATCACAAGGTGATTGCTTTTAATATTGGGTTCAAGAAAGGGAAGGGGGATGGGCGGACAAGAAGCCTAAACTTCAGGAAGGCTAACTTTGATAAACTACCCAATATAGTGGGTGAAATCGAATGGGAAAACTTATTTGATAAACTAAACTTTGACCAAAAGTGGGACTGTTTCAAGAACAAATAAAAAAATGTTATTACCAGGTGTATACCACCGGGTAACAAAAAAACAAAAACAAAGCCAATATGGCTAAATAAAACGGTGAAACAACACATTAAGGAAAAGAAAGTGGCATTTACTAAGTATAAAACGGAGGGGACAGTATTGGCATTCCAAAACTACAAAGAATGTAACAAAAGATGTAAACTGGTAGTCCGGGCAGCTAAAATTGAATGTGACAAATATATAGCCGAAGTTAGTAAAAGGAACCCCAAAAATGTTTATCAATACATAAACAGTAAAAAGGGGAGAAAGGAACAGATAGGCCCAATAAAGGACATAAATGGGACGTTACACATAAATGACAGGGAGAGGGCCGAGGCGCTAAATACTTTCTTCTCGTCGGTATTCACCAAGGAAAAAGACTTGTTTTGTGTACACGATAAAACAAAAAAATTTAACAAGAAATACACCTGAGTGGTTGACTGAAACTGGGATACAACATAGGCTTAAACTACTAAATGCAAATAAAGCATTAGGACCTGATAATCTACATCCCAAGGTACTCAAGTAACTGAACAAGGAGATTTTTAAGGAATCCGTAATGGCTGGTAGAGTGCCAATCGACTGGCGAAGGGCTAATGTGGTACAAAGGGTCAAAATGCCAACCGGGGAACTATAGACCAGTTAGTCTGACTGCATAGTATGTAAACTGTTAGAGGGAATTATTAAGGACTACTTAGTGGAATTAGTCCGGGATCATGGCATAATAACTGATAATCAGCATGGATTTGGGAAGGATCGTTCTTGCCAGATCAAGGAGAGGTAAGTAAAGATCTGGATGGAGGGAGGCCGGTGGACGTAGTATATCTGGACTTTTCCAACGTATTTGATACGGTGCCACATAAATGCTTGTTATACAAGCTAAGGGCTATGGGCATAGATGAATTAGTGTGCACATGGATAGAAAACTGGCTGAAGGAACGTGTACAAAGAGTATCAGTTAATTGCACCTTTTCAGACTGGGCTGAGGTCATGAGTGGCGTGCCCCAGGGTTCTGTGCTGGGCCCCATGCTTTTTAACCTGTTTATTATTGATATAGGGGAGGGAGTGAGTAGCCATGTCTCAGTGTTTGCTGATGATACGAAAATTGGGAGGGTAGTAGACACAGATTTAGACATTATAACATTACAGGAGGACCTGGAGAAAATCGGGGAGTGGGCAACTGTATGGCAGATGAAGTTCAATGTCGATAAATGTAAGGTAATGCACCTTGGAGTTAAAAATAGGCAAATGGACTATACACTATTTAATGGTGACAGCAACATTTTTAACAAACTGTTTACGGTTAGCTCCGTAACAAAGACCAGAGGGCACCACCAAAAATTGGTGGAAAAAAAATTTCAACACACAGGGCGCAAGGGGTTCTTCACAGTTAGAGCGGTTAAGGTCTGGAACTCGCTGCCGCAGGAAGTGATTTCAGCTGAGAGTGTGGAATAATTCAAGAAACTCCAGGACGAGTTCCTCGGAGACGATAATATACAGGGGTACACATGGACAATTTGCAGGGCTGAATTTACCACAAGACCACTGAGGTCTGGCCTTGGGGCAGCAGGGAATTGAGGGGCGGCATAGTAGCAGGGTGGGTAATTTTTTTTTTCTACATGTAGCCCTACTTCGGTCAAGCAGAGCTAATTATAGAGCAGGGAAGCTGGTGTTCCTTTAGTACAAGTGATCCTGCCGAGATCTCTTGTAATATGGCTGCAGGTACCTCCCCCCGACCCCCCCTCCATGTCCACCTCTGGCTGCCTCTGTCCCTGCTGGCCGCCTCCCTCCTCACCATGGTTTTTGGGGTCTCCCGCTCTTCTGGACAGCGGGGAGCAGAGCGGAGAACTCTCTGCTCTGCTCCGTGTGAACACTGAGTGAGGAATGCTGCACTTGCAGACTTCCCATCTCAGCTGTCACAGGAGTTCCAGCACAGTGCTGTGCTCGAATGCCTGCATTGCAGGTGACCGGTACAATAAAGAGAACCTGTCACCTTCAAATGCTATCACACAGGGGCTTGTTAATCATTAATCAAAATGTACATCCAGTTCGTAGGGTGTAGAGTGGCTACACTGTAAAACATTTAACAACAAATTATATCTTTCAAACACCATGCTTCCTATTCAGTTTCAATTATTAGAGAAATAAACAATATGGAGAGGGCAATAGCTCTGCTTTTGTTTCCAGTTTTTTGTGCACCGGCTTTCAAAAATAAACCCTTCTGTGTGAAAATATTTACTGAGAGTCTATGAGTACTGACACTGCTGTGCACACTGCACTCAGAACAAGAGGGCTGAGACTGCACCGGGAAATGTGTAACGTAGGAAAAGTACAAAACAGCCCTTATGAAATTCCATTCTTCAGTAGTCTAAAGGCGGGGTTACTTGTGACTTATTCTAGTCTTATCACTACTGTAGGAAGTAATTATGACAAATTTCAGTGTCCTGATACGCAACTCAGATGGATGACTCAAACATTCTCTACTTAAAGTGAACCTACCATGTAAATGTGTATAAAAAGTTTAACCCCTTAACAGCAATAACAGACGTGTGTGTGTGTGTGTGTGTGTGTGTACTGTGTGTCTTATATTGCTGACTTTTGCCAGTTGAACATAGTTACATAGTTACATAGTATTTGAGGTTGAATAAAGACATAAGTCCATCAAGTCCAGCCTATTGCATGTGTGCATTTATGTTTGAGCTGGTGTGTGCGTGTGTATTAGTCCATGTGTACCCCTGTATATTATCGTCTCCGAGGAACTCGTCCTGGAGTTTCTTGAATGCTTCCACACTCTTGGCTGAAATCACTTCCTGCGGCAGCGAGTTCCAGACCCTAACCGCTCTAACTGTGAAGAACCCCTTGCGCCCTGTGTGTTGAAATTTTTTTTCCACCAATTTTTGGTTGTGCCCTCTGGTCTTTGTTACGGAGCTAAACGTAAACAGTTTGTTAGCAATGTTGCTGTCACCATTGAACAGTTTATACAGAAAAATCATGTCCCCCCTTAATCTCCTAACCTCCAACAAGAACATATTTAATTTTAACAACCTTGTTTCATAGTTCAGGTCCTCGAACCCCTTAATGAGTTTGGTTGCCCTCCTCTGGACTTTTTCCAGCTCAAGGTCACCTTTTCTGAGTATCGGTGACCAAAACTGGACCGCATACTCCAGATGTGGCCGAACCAGTGATCT